ATCCCTGGCTTCTGGTTGAGCCATTTACAACACTCGTACTTACTGCAATACTGCTAGGGCTGGATTCACATTTGCCATTTTGCTATTTGCTCTCTACATGTCTTCCTTTGTATCTTTGTCCCTCAGTTACTCGTCTTCCTTTGTATTAAATATTTTTAGCATATCACTTTCACTCTTCGGTTGATCGGCCACTTTGCTTTCAGTACCTTTTCTTTTTTCTTTTTTTTGACATAGGGTGTCACTATGTACTTCAGGCTGGCCTGGAACTTGCAGTGATCCTCCTGCCTCAGTCTCCCCAGTGCTGATATCACAGTTTTGCGCTCACTTTGGATTAATACTAATTTGATTCTCGTGAAACAGAGAAACTACTGCACTGTGTTCGGTTTCGCTCTCCTCTCCTGTATCAGTCCTGTCGCATATCTAGGATGCTGTGAGCCCAAGCAGCCACCGAGTGCTTTCGGAGGGCTGGGAAAATGGCTCTCTCCTGTCAGCCCGCACACTGCCATGTCCAGGGCCTCCTCCCTTGCTGTGGACTTCAGCTGCCAACCGTCTCCTGTCAGCCTGTACTGCTTGTCTGGTCCTGCCTCGCCATCTTCACTTCCGCAGGGCCCTCTGTGGGAGCCGAGCCTTGTTCCACAGCTCTCCCCCAGTGCCTCAAATCCGGTCAACCCTTCTGGTTCTCACTGCCTCAGGTGAGCAGGTAGCTGCTGCTGTCCACACTGACAACCCGGGGTGTGGCGGCTTCTGCTCTCAATGCTGTCAGAACCCTTTTCTTTGACTTCCTGTACTTTTACTATGATATATCTAGGCATACATCTCCTGTATTTATGTCACCTAAGGTTTGTTAAGTTTTTTTTTTGTTTTGTTTTGTTTTTGAGACCCGGTCTCCTTATATAGTTCAGGCTGCAGGATGGTCTTAGACTTTACTTTGTATCCCAGACTGGCCTGGGGAGCAATCCTCCTGCTTCAGCCTCTTGAGGGTTGGCATTACGGGCGTGCACCACCACACCGGGCTGCTGACCTTTTTGGATAAGGCTGTTTCTGGCCATTACATCAAATACCTTTCTATGTTTGGCACTCTGCTGGTTCTCAGCCTGCCAGGCCAGGCAGAATCTCCTCCTCAAGGGGTGAGGAAAGAGTGCGGAAGCAGCCCCCCGGCCAGGCGCCAGTCTCACCTTTTTCACCCAGAGATTAGCAATTTTTAAACACAAGCACTTCCTTGAGTGTTGTATGCCTCTGATTTTCACCATATTAAAAGGGTTTTTGCCACTTTGGTTTTGCTTTATCGTTGCCGGGCGGGGGGTGTTGCTGCAGGGTCTCACCACACAATTCAGGATGACCTCGAACTCTCAGTGGGCGATATTCTTGCCTCAGCCTCCCAAGTGCTGGGATTACAAATGGGCGTCAACTTACTCAGCTTGTTTTCTTGTTGCTGTTTTGTTTTTGTTATCTTTTTGTGACAATGGGGATTGAATTCAGGTCCTTAATGCTGAGCTATATCCCCAGACATTTTAAAGCCGCTATGCTTGACTTACCATTGCATTTTTGGGACGTGATCCATCATCTCCTCAATCATGACCAGAAGTTGCCCTTCAATTTTTTTTTTTTTTTTGGTA